GAAGCAGTAGTGAATCATGTTGATTCACGTCCAGTAACACTGTCGTCGCTATTTCACACACGTCTCCCTTTTTACGCCTCACCCGTCAGTTATGCGGGTCCATATTTTCATTCCCACTTGTGTATGATTTACTCATACCCTTTATATCCATCTGCCCATTCAGAAGTTTATAATGTTCCTTATTCAAACAGATTGTATCAGTTATGCACACATGTTATTATAAGCACACAAACACACAAGTTGGCTGAGGTATTCAGCTAACCGTTGTGCCTAGCCCCCTCTTGTCTTCTTCATCTTCACCGATATCAAGGTGCGTTATTTGGCTAGATATAACTCAGTAGTCTATGCAAACATAACCGGGCCCTCAACAGGGCCCAATAAAATGAAAAGAGGGACACAGAGAAGTTGATCGTTGGCGTGTGCTGATGAAACCGATGACCATCTCCCAGAAATTTGTGTCAACCGAATATTTAGTATTGTCTGGAAAATAGGCGACATCCAAAGACTTGAGGTCTAAATTTGGGTGTTATCCGGTAGTGATTGGGTCCAGATGAGAAACCCGGTTGAGCAAGGCAAGAGTTGAGAAATGGAGTAAAGTTAGTGTATTTGGATGCAGATAGTGATAGCTGAGTAGTAGCGGAGACACGGGACCCATACCTAGACTCCATCGTGGTTAAAAAGTATCAATATCACGCCGAAATTTAAATGAGGGTAAAATGGAATGGGTTTGACTTTTTCATTCCAACATGAGATATATAATCGTCACTTCATTTAACTTGTGTCGGAAAATATCTAATTGTCGGCTCGTCGAACGTCAATATACATTCAAAGTCAGGGTGAGTATTGTTGAAGCCCTAGCAAATGGTCCTCTGCCACGTTGGAAATGCTGCGTGGAAATTTTAAAAGGGATTACGTCATAGTTAGCAATTCCTGAAAGCCCCGTCATGTGGTGTTAAATGCTGGAGCCACAGAGCGGAATCAGCCCTTTTGCGACGCAGACACCCGATGAGGCGGAGTTACGTCCAACGAAGGCAGAGACAGCTAACCTGGTTGTATTTTATCGTGTGTAATTAAATAGGGTCGTTGATCAATACAGTCTGGAGAAACTTGTAGTTTACGCCATAACAGCCTACTTTTTCCCACAGATTAGTGTTATTTAGGCAAACCATGTTTCGCAAATAAAGTGCCATTTGATTTCAAAAAGGGGATCGATTTTAATGTTTGTGGTGCTACAGACAAACCCGTCGTGTTCCTGAAGACTAGGCCACCACTGAGTGCGAATAAATAGCTTAAGATTCCCTTTAACAGAACACAGGAATCCCTAAAAACTTCCAGTTGTGACATTTTTCAACAGGCGATTTTTTATTTGACTTATTTACTTCATACTCAGTGGGAAAAATTATGATACGCTTGTTACTTCCTAGCAGGACAATATCAAAGTGCTCTACGGTATGCCCTGCATTTTCTTCACGTCTGCCAAGGCCATTGTGCCTCTGTTGTCAGCGAAGCTGCTCTAAATATTAGCCATGTTGATTCCAATAAGTTGTTTTAATTTGTGTTGACCACTTGATCATTACAATTTTTACACTTTTTTTAGTCTTAAATGTGTTAGACGAATTGGTGAGCTGAAGTCGTGGGAAACTTTTATGCTGGAAATGTGACGACTATATAAATTTTAATGTTATTCTCTAAACGATCATTTACCAATAACATTTGTTAATAAATCAGGCTGTAAATTTGTTATGTTTGCCCGTAACAATAGAGAATACCACTCAAATAACGGTACCAGATCCCTTGCTGAAAGCTAGAACCGACCTTCCCAGGCTAATACCAGAACCAGACCAGAGCTCCAGTAGAGAGCTTTATTCACGTCAGCCACGTGCAGAGAAGAAGTGAAATCGAAAGTCGTTCAAGTCAAGGTTGACCTTGACTTGATAAAAGCGCAACAAAACAAATGTTAATAAATTAATATTGATAGAATTAGAAACCAATCTTGGGGAATCGTGGATCCCCAACAAAATTATTGAATGAACATGGGTTAAAAACACTGTTAATCGAGGTCATCAGCGGTCAAATAAAATCATTCACCTATTAGTGTCACATCTTAAATCTAAGAAACTTTCCAGAATTAAATTCTTTTTAATTGTGCAAAATCAAAGAAATGTCGTTGTGAGGCACCTCTAACTCTGGATGTTCCTTTTTGGTTGTGACACGTGATCTTGGCCACCAGAAGTTGCACCTCCAAATGCAAGGCAAAATCATATTCTTATAAATCGCATGTTTGAGAAGTACACACCAACGGACTGGAGGTTGCCATCAACACTGTGGCTTCAAGTACCACTAATTTTGTGTGCTTCACTATCAATTAAATGCGTAAAGCAAATGTTTTAGGAGAAGCACGAACACTTGGTTCAGACTGGTTTGATTTGTCTATCGTAACTCATCGTAGCGATTGCTCTTATAAGACCAAAATTTTTATCAATATCCTAGGGAATGGAAAAATCAGCAATTTACGCACTAAAAAATGTTGTGAGCTTTGAAAAGAATAGTCCAACCAATTTCGGTACAGCATGTTCACATTTTGAACTTAGTTTATAAAGTCACTTTTTTAATTTGTAAGTCAAAAAAAAATTTCACGTGTAATTTATGCAAACGCAATTCGCTTTATTCAGCCCCTTAGGGACGTTAGGCTTATTTTCACACAACACTACATTGGATAACATTTGTAGTCTTAAAGTGGGTTGAAAAGCATTGTAATGTCGTAGAATGCTGTGTCGATATCTAGTATTGTGTAGTCAATGCGCAGAGTGACAGTCAACCACTTTTTATGCTTTTCATTCCTTCGGAGGAGGACTAAAATATGCAAAGGCAGGACCGATTGCCTAGTGCCTCAATGAAAGAACTGCTTTTCACATGTCCTAAATCTCCACAGTTTATTTCATGTTGTGCCAAATCTAAATTAGCTTTACTAGCTGTAATTTGAGACTGCGGTTTCACAACGCCTATTAAGTCTTGTAATAATATCAACAGCATTTGAATTTTGAAATTATTAGTTTGTATTAATAGTTGGTGGTGGTAGGAGTGGTTTAAAATTGAATTGTTAGAAAAGGCACCAGAATAAATGTAACTGATTTGAGATGATCAACAAAGCTGTCTTTGTGCCTTTCTTTTAAAATTCATGGCGTAACAAAATGTTATATAGATTGCTATTTTTTTAAGAAAGGGTATGCTAATACCAACCTCAAATTAAGTCACTTATTGCGCAGTATTTAATTCTTTTTCTTGAAAGCAGTGTCAAACAAAAAGGAGAAGAGTTCTGGAGTGATTGTAAGCCAACTAAATCAACTTTTGTTACGATTGCCCGTGTTAAGGGTCCCGGCATGTTGTCTTGAGCCACGCGGGGGCCACTGTAAAAATCTACGCCGAATACGTCACCCTGTGTTCCCGCGAAAATAAAGAAGACCGGAGTGGGGAAGGCCAAACCGTTTACTAGACAGCTCAACGAAGTTATGTTTTGATGACTGATACGGTTGAGTGTACTGGTAAAAGTACAGGCGTCTGAATGGTCACATGGATAGAGCGGGTGGTGGTACACACAGAGGTGTTAATGATCAGGCGGTCCCAGAGACTGACGGGCACGCCGTGACAAAGGGGACGTATGTTTTAGGCTGTGAGGGCCGGGATGTTTAACGTGAATCAACACGGTTCACTACACCCATAACGAAGAGAAAACCACTCAAGTAACGGTACCAGATCCCTTGTTGACGCTAACACCGACCTTCCCGTGCTAATACAGGAACAAGGCCAGAGCTCGTGTAGAGAGCTTTAACCACGTCAGCCACGTGCGAGTGAGTTGTCGAAAATGAAACTAATACGAGTCATGGTTGACCTTGACCTGGTAAAAGGAGTGATAAAACACATGTTAGGGAATTCGTGTACATAGAGCCAAACACCAACGATGAGAATTCTTGGGGCATCGTGGATACCCAACAACTATCGAAAGTCACGTTCTCAACTGAGGCCACTTCATCAAACATTGCAACTTCTGCTTTCACAACTTTATATCCATGTCTACAATATCGTCGACGTAAGGTGGTGTGCTTGATACTGCACCAGCTTTTACAGAGGTCTCCTGAATTCGCCTACCTCATTCCATACTCATCCTTGATTTCCACAATCTTCGAAAAGAATGTTTAAAAGCATTAAACACTACTCTTAGTACTAATAGCAAATCACTTCCCTTAGACAACAAATGTAAAAATGTTTTCAAGCTGCTTCCTTGTGTCCGATCTATTTTAATGCTACAATACCAACGCGCAAATTACCGAAAGGTGCAACTAAACTATACAACCGAAACGTATCGTTTCAAAACAGATTTTTGGTTGTATTTGCATTAAAATCTTATTGTTACTACGTAAATGACTCACTAACAAAGCATTGTAATTATATTGCACACAAAACCTTGATTCAATGCAAAAAATGTTTAGTAAAAAAACTTAGAAAATCCGCCACCGCCTAACAAACTGAAAATGTATAGTCCACTACGTGCTATTTTTCTTGTAAATTGTTTACAGTGAATTGCAAGTTATGAGTTGTAATTATATTTATACTTAACATTCCTGAACTTATTTGTAGTGCAATAAAAGTTTGCTTTAACCAAACTTCGTTTTATTTCAAAAAAAAATGCTCCGCACAATTTCCAAGAGTAGTGAACAGTTAATGATGTCAGTTAAACGAAAATCTGAATTAAAATCTTCGCATACTGCCAGATGCCATGTGTTGAGTTTGGTACTAAACGGAGCATATTTTGAATGGATTGCTGGGGCACTTCTGACACAATTATTCTGGGGGGAGAGGGTGCAGTTTGTGGTTGTTGCTGTTGACGAAATAGCGTGCTTGTACTTGGCAGTGTCGAAGTAGTAGCAGAATCCGAGGTTTTCCTGAGTTCCTGAGACGCTGAAGTGGGGGTGGCAGTAGTTGACAGTGTCCCCGTGGAGACAATGGTTGAACCCAAGGTGGTCGTGTGTGCATTCGATGATGAAGCGAATGGTCTTGTAGTTGAGAGTGTATATTTTGGAGTAACACTGGAACCCAAGATGGTTGAGTGGGTCTGTGATGACAGTGTGGATGGGCTGGAAGCTGCTGGGGTCTCCGTCGAAGTAAGAACGGGCCGCGAGGTGGTTGTGCGTTCCTGTGGTGATGGAGCGGATGTGCTTGTTGTTGGTAGAGTCTTAATTGGATTGACGGTTGAATCCTTGGAAATTATGCCTGTCTGTGAGGCCGAAAATGGACTGCTGGTGGATAATGGCGCCTTAGTCGAAATGATAATTTTAGATGTAGACGTTCCTCCGGCTGACGGTATCTTTTGACAACACTGTTTATAAAAACATCTGTGTTCTCC